TCCTTAGCAATAGTTGGAGGGCTTATTTGACCCTTTTCCCAAAAAGAAAAAACAACGGAATTCAGTTTAATACTTACATAACTTGGAGTCAAGCATTTGGGTGGATCATGAATAAAATATACATTTTTAATATATTAAAAATACATTATTTGTGTACTGAATATACATTATTTGATAATATTAAAAAAAATCATATACTTTTAAATAACGTACTTTATGCATACAAATAATGTACTTTTAATATATTACAAATGTATTTTTTACGATAAAACTGATTTTGAGAGTGACGATTCTGGTCCATAGAATAATGATTCTGGATAAATACGTTAGTGATGAGTACCCTTTTTTTTTTTTTTTTTGGTGGGACGGGGGAGTGGGGTTGTCAATTGTTATGTTGTGGAACCGTGTTCACTTTGCAAGGTGGACATGGTTCTATGTTCATAATTACTGAATTATATGTTCATAATTATAAAACTATATATTCATAATTATTGAACTCTATATTCACAATTATAGAACTCTATGTTCATAATTACTGAACTATATGTTCATAATTATAAAGCTATATATATATTCATAATTATTGAACTCTATATTCACAATTACAGAATTCTATGTTCATAATTACTGAACTATATGTTCATAATTATAAAACTATATATTCATAATTTTTGAACTTTATATTCACAATTATTGAATCTTTATATTCATAATTACAGAACTATATGTTCATAATTATGATCACAACTCTATGTTCATAATTACAGAACTATATGTTCAAAATTTTTGAACTATATGTTTATAATTATGAACAATTTTGGAATTGTGTCCACCTTGCAAGGTGGACACGGTTCCACAGCATAATTTGTGGGGGTTGATGAGACAATGAATTTCAAAAATGGGCTGAAAAAAATAAAAAGGGGCTTTAGTTTGGTGTAAATGGAGGCAAATTATTGTGTGGGTCATGGTTCACACAGTGTTATGTGAACCATAACAAAAATTACATTTTTAATATACTAAAAGTAAATTATTTATGTATTGGATGTACATAATACAAAATAATATACTTTTAGTACTCAAATAATATATATTTTTCTGAATACAATGCACATTTTTAATATATTAAAAATACATTATTTGTGTACTAAATATACATTATTTGAAAGTATGGTCCACATAATTGTATGAACCATGTTCCACACAATAATGATCGGTAAATGGAGCAGTGGGCCTAACTAATTCAAGTCTTTACGCTCACATCTGGCTTCTTTCTTATCCATAACTCATAAGGGCATCCATAGTAGTCATTTTTGTTGGGTTTTTGGTAGAGAAAAAACCGATTTAGTGTAACAACAACTGATGTGGATGAAGTTTTTTGGAAAATTTAACTCCTATAAGAACAAAATTTTTGTCAAAAAGTATTAAAAAATAAAATAAAAAAGATGGCAAGCGCGCACTGCCCGCCTCAGCGGGCGCGTGTTTCCCACGCGTCCTTTGGGGCGTTTCAGAGTGGTCGCCAGCCGGTAGCCACTTTGAAGAAGAAACGGCCATTCCTTTTTCTTTTTTTCTTTTAACTGTCAAATTGTTTTTTTTTCTTTTCTTTTTCTCTTCTATTTTTATCACTCCTACATATCACCTAAAAAATTGTGTAAAATTTCTAACTGGATGCTCTAAGAGTCTTTAAAAAGGTTTCATACTTTCATTACACTTAATTTATTGGTTATCAGTTGAAAAAATATTTAATTTTTTTTATACTTTTGGCAGCCGCCGACGATGTTCGCAGCCTCCTTTTGACATGGAAGAAGACAAAATGTCGCTGGCTCTAGGCTCATTTTTCGTCATTTAAGGAGGCAATCATCAGTCGCCTTCTTTAATGACTAAGGTAACCGACTACTGTTCGCAGGTCGCGCGGTTGTCAATTTTTATACCCGGAGCATCAAAACATTATTGGAATCTTAATGACTTGCTATTATAGGTCACTAATCAGTTTTTGAGATTCGATGTATTAAAATGACATATTGATGTACTTAATTGCACATTTAACATCATTGACACAAAAGTACCCTTCTATTTCCTAACCTAAAAAAAAAAAAAAAAAAAACCCTTGAAACAAAATTATCCTTCTATAATATTTTTTGGATGTAAGAATTTAATAAGTTTAACATTTTATTATGTTTAACTAAATTGTATACTTTTATTTTTATGAAGTTTTTTTTTTTTTTTTTTTTTTTTTTTTTTTTTTTTTTTTATGTGAGCTTATGAAGCTTAACGTTGCATGATTACATAAATTTTGGGAGTTATTAAATATGTTATATTGATACAAGTTTATATCTAAAAGTGTCCAAATAACAACTGAATCACATTATAATTTGACACAAATTTACTTGTTAGTTTTTTTTTTCTATGTTAGTTTTTATTCAATTATGTTATTAACGTAAATCAATTTGTTTTGGCCCCATAATATTTAAATAATTTCTATTATTTTATATTTGTAAACTTTTATAATTTATTGTATTTTATAATATTTATTTACACTATTTGTACTACAAATTTTTTAAATGAATGCAATAATAATAGTAGAATGCTAACATCATAATAATTATATATTTTATTACCTTTCAAATTTATTAATATTGAACATCAACATGATTTATGTAGGGATAAATTTATATATAGTAGTAATAAGACGGCAATAATTTTTAAAAGCTGGATGAAGTAAAACAAAAAAAAAATTGATATGCAACAATGATTCAATAGGTATGTATTATATTTACATACAAAGGATGAATTTTACAAATATTAAAAAAAATGTAAATAACCATAACTCACAACAAAATTGTCATAAGCTAGAATTAGTAATAATATATTTTAAAATAAAATTACAAATTTAAATTTAATAAAAATAGAAAAATATATATGAAAGCTCATAAATGAATTAATGTTAATTGCAATATTTCTATGGTACATCTCCTTGTTAACACAAGACAAATTATCAAACACAAAATATCTATAATCTGTACATACTTATTTCATGTAAAATACCTTTGTAATATGCCTAACATTAGTTATGAACTTTTATAACAATTTTGATAGTATACCTAAAAGATAGTTGCAAGTTCTTAATGTTATGAATCAAATACAACTGCATCCAACCTTCATTAGAAAATTGATTACCGAACATTTAAAAATATCTTAATAGAATATTAATCTACATAAAGATCTTTAGTCTGAGAAATGAATAACTACCCTTTTTTATTCTACTCTAACCAAATAAATAAATAAATCTCTTGAACTAATAGTCATCATTCTAACAAATTGAAAAAGATAAAAATATTCCTAAAAAAGTGAGAGCCTTACTGAATAGTTAAATGTAAAAGAACACCATATGGAAAGGGATTAACATCATTCAAAACTCTTCCAAATTGAGTATTTATAGAGTATATATGAATTAATATACAAAAAATATTACATTGTTAAATTTGGTAAAATATAATTATTATATATAATTGTAAATTGACACAAAATTAACAATGTTTACACATTTTTACTGCTTACGAAATTTATATAATACAATTGATTCTATTTATAATATTAAAATTCTAACTTTCTCAACCAACTGAAACACAAAGAACCAATAACGCCTCCACTGAGGCTTGAACTAGTAACCTTCCAAATGGAAGTCCAACCCGGATACCATTACATTGCATTCCATTACCATTAAATTATCATATTATTAATTATATATTTGAATATTATAAAACACACACACACACCAAAATGGCCGTTATTGTTGTGGTTATTATTATTATTAGTATCATTATTATTATTAGTATCATTATTATTATTATTATTATCATTATTATTATTATTATTATTAATTTAAGAATGGCAGAATGCAATTATTAAATTGACGCCATTCATAATGCAAATTATAGTTGATGTACATAAAATTATAAACAATCCAAATTTTCATTCGCTATTGCATAGACTCATTTGGTATTATAATCAAAATTAACAAACACACAACTGACGACATTCACTATTGCATACATTCATTCGCTATTATAAACAAGCATACCACCCACGCTATATACAGATCAAATTTAAATACTTTAGAGTTTTAAAAAAACATACTTGATTAAGGTTGACATAGAATGATTATTGTTCATGAACGGCGGAGAAGATCAGGCATCAATTTTAGGTTAAAAATAGGGAGAGATAATTTTGTCTCACGATTATTTTTATTTCTTCCTAAAATCAATGAAATTAAAATCTCTCTAGAAGAGAAGGTCATACATCAATTTTAGATTAACAAAAGGGAGGGTAATTTTGTCTTGTGAGCATATAGCCATTAATGTGTATCCAACTATGAGCTTAGGCTTTTAGTTGAGATGTAGCACATGCTTCAATTTGTTATCAGAGCCAGGTCCACGTGTTGCTTGGAACCCACCGCACACGTAAGGGGGCGTGTGAGCATATAGTCATTAATGTGTATCCAACTATGAGCTTAGACTTTTAGCTGAGATGGAGCACATGCTTCAATTTGTCTCATGATTATCTTCTTCTTTTTTTCTTCCTAAAATTAATGAAATTAAAATCTCGGGGATATGAGATTTTAATTCCATGAAAAATGAGAAAATTGCAATTCATTCCAACTAAACTAAGAAATTTAATGGCCTTTGAAATTAGGTGGCCGGGAATGGAATATAAATTTTCTCCAACCAAACGCCCTATTAAGGCAAAATAGTATTTGTTCTATACTTTTTCTAAATACTGCAGTCTAAAGAGATGCCATCTGAACAGAAAGTGCTTGGCACGTAAATTTCACTTAATTGACAGTGATATTAATCACCTAAAATTTGTTATAGATAACTTGAATTATATATATATAAAAAAAAAGTTATATAAAAGATTAGCATACTATATTACTCGAGTGAGTGGGGTATTGGCGTAACGTTTTTGCGTGCATGATTGCGTGCATCAAGTCTTACACGGATGTAGGAATTGTTGTAATTCCATTTCCAATATCGATCCAGAGAGCCATTGCTGCATTTTGAGAATTGAATCTCCAATCAACGGCCACGTCTTGATCAGGTGATCTTTAACTTTTTTAGTATGTACTTTTTGTTTATGTAATCGTAAAATCTTCGAAATTTGTCGTTTTTCATTTCGTTCGTCTTTTCAAGGATTTCGTTTGAGTTATCATACAGCGATTGATTCGAAAGTCGAGGCATTGGTTGTGTGAATGTGTGTTGATTATTAGAAAACCAAATCACAGAAGAAGAGCTTCAATCTCGACGTCTCATAGCAATGGATCGGTTGAGGCATAGGTATGCGCCGCTGAAGAGCAATCAAAACACCTCGAATTATGAGGCGCCATCTTCTCCGGGGACTTCATCTCCTTTTCTTCATCACCGTTCAGGCTCAGCTTCAAATGCAAGAAAACCGCAGAACACGAAAGCCGCTGCTCAGAGGCTTGCGCAGGTTATGTCGAATCAAACGGCTGGAGATGATGAGGAGGAGGAGGAGGAGGATCTTTTATATGAATCTGCTTCTGTCAATCTTTTGGCTGGCGTTGGACTTGCAGGAGGAAGATCAACTAGAAATCCCTCTCCAATGGTAATAATCCTCTGGTTGCTAATGGTCTTTTGCTTGTTTGTATCTTTTACTCAAAGACATGTATAAGCACATGAACACATCCATTTAACAGAATCATATTATACTAATTGCTTTGGTCCACTTAAAGACATCATTTAAGTATTAGAATGGCATGTAAAGGTTTCTGTTGTTTCTCTTAGTCAGTTCGTCCATCCACGGAACAATCTGCATCTATACGTTCAGCGCCAAGGCGGCCCTCTCCAACTCGTTCTTCATTAGAACAACCTTCATCTGGTCGCTCAACTTCTGCTACCCGGTCATCTCAGCAGAGTTCAGTAGACCAAACTCCATCTGCTCGTTCATCTTCTGCTACTCGATCGTCCCAGCTGAGTTCAGTAGAGCAACCTATAGCTGCTCGTTCATCTTCTGCTACTCGATCATCCCAGTTGAGTTCAGTAGAGCAACCTTCATCTGCTCGTTCAACTTCAACAATTCGGTCATCTCAGTTGAGTTCTTCAGTAGAGCAACCTCCATCAGCTCGTTCTTCTCAGGCTGCCCGCTCAGTACAATCCACAAACTCTATAGAACCGGTGCAGCCTCTATCTGCTCGTTCTACATCAGCTAGCCGTCCTAATTTAGGAGTCAAGGCAGTTCCTTTAGTACCTTCATCTGTATCTATATCACTCAGGACAGGTGTTTCACAAACTCCTGAGCTTCAATCTGACAGCCGCAAGGATAAAAGGTAACATGTACGACAAGCTAGTATTGAGTTTATATCCAATCCTATTATCCCTTATGTTGAAGTACTCTTACAAGCTAATACGACATTCTAATATTTGGGTTTCTGGATGGTCATGTGTGTTAAGCTCCTCTGTCAAGCTCAGAATTGCAAAGTTTTGGTATTGATGCTTTATTTAATTGATTAATTATCAGGTTATCACTAGACTTGGGAACTTATAAGCATAAAGAACCTGCCGCTCGAACAGCTTCTTCTGCTCTCCATGATGAGGTATGACCATTATAGTCCTATCATTTCCATTGGTTTCCACAACCTGCTACTATTCATGCATTTATTATTATTATTATTATTATTATTATTATTATTATTATTATTATTTACTTTTTTGGTCCTTAATTAATGTGTGTTTATTTAATTCAATTTGGGGGCTACGTTTATAAGCATTCTAGAATATTGTAGAAAGTAAGAAAGGCACTTTCCTTCTCAGCTAGCTGTTACATCTCTCAAGTGACAGATCGATTATATGTTAGTCCTTTTCTTTTATCAGCATGCAATCTGCTAGCCAGTTTTTCTTATATAACAAATGAGTACAATGTGTTATCCACTTATGAACTTTCTAACCAGTAATTTACGCCTGCTTTGCATTATGCATGTTATGGTTTTGAGTAAAATTACTACATATAAGTAATAGTATATATGATATCTGCAGCTTGATTTGCTTCACGAGGAAAATGAAAGTTTACTTGAAAAGGTAATTGCAATTTGCTTCTCACTTCATATGAAACTTCTGTACCTGGTTTAGGCATAAGAAAATTTTTTCTAGCATTTGAGTGTATAACATGCACTGGCATCACTTTATGACATATACCTTTCAGCTTCGACTTGCAGAAGAGCATTTTGAGGAAGCAGAAGCCAGGTCTAGGCAACTTGAGAAGCAGGTAACTCTGCAAGCAACTATCCATCTTATTTTAGTGCTCATCTTTCTATTTTATCTTGCATATATCCTACGTATCATAATAAAAGTATAGTAAATGGTTAGGTCTTTTTGAAGATTGATATTTCATTGTTCTTTTGGTGTGTTTGAATTACCTGCCTTGTTCTTCCCTTCTCTATAATGGATGCTTAGATTGCTTATTAATAATTATGTGGTTCCTTTTCAAGGTTGCAAACATTGGGGAGGGTGTTTCACTAGATGCTCGTCTCTTAAGCAGGTAAGGTCTACAAACTCAGCAATTTTACATTCTGAACTACAGTGCTTTATTATCTAAATCATTTCCAATTCTTTTTACACTTTTCCATCCTTTTATTTTTTCAATTGCACAGGAAGGAGGCTGCTCTACAGCAAAGGGAGGTGCGTAGGATGTTAAATTCTGTTTTGTAGGTTCTGCATTTGGTCAACTAATACTATGTTAATCTGAATGTTGCCTTTGTATATTTGTTTTTCATATTTTATGCTCAAGTCACAGCTGTTACTAATGCACTTTAGATGTTATGTATGCAATCCTAATATCCTATGTCACAATGTTACATTAGTCACCCTATAATGTTTTGTTATTTACTTCATAAATGTCTAAAATCCCTTATAATGAAAATTGAAGAACTTAATCTTATTCTCCTAAATGCATTAATTTAGGTGACATAAATTGGTGAATCAATTTTTCAAGATGCTTTAAAATAGTGTTTTTAACTTTTACACTCTGAATGTTGCTAGGCATCCAAACTTGTAAATCATATTCATTTGTTGTAGAATCTAGTAGAAATGCATTTCAACATTGTATATGAACATGAATCATCTGGCAGGCTGCGCTAAAAGTTGCAACACAATCTTTCAGTGGAGGTGGAAAATGTGATGAGGTTGAAGCCCTTCGAGCAGAGGCTGAGGTATTCAGAACCTCAATATTGTATGTTTGTTCTTTTCATGGTACTGATTATTCTGTTCTGAATGTTAACTTGTCTGTGCAATACACACTATTTTTTGTCACAATTTCATATTATGATTCAGAATGCAAGGGATGAAGTAGCATCTGTTTTTGAGAAACTCAATCAAGCTGAATGCAGTGTCAAATCTTTGCGAAACATGATGAAAAGAATGATACTCACCCAGGAGGAAATGGTACATATTCCTTATGACTTTCCCGAGAAACTTACTCTTTTGCATACTCATTTGATTCACAGTTTTCACACTTTAGGAAGAGATTGTTCTCAAGAGGTGCTGGCTTGCGCGATACTGGGGCTTATGTGTCGATCATGGTAATTGACTGAAATAGTCATATTAATTGAATTTTCATGTATTCATGCACCTGATTTTTCTTAGTTATGTTAAATACATACTGGGAAATTGCACTGTAACCAAAAGAAAAATTTATTTTTCTCTTCCTGCATATAAGGTGCAACATATTGGCAGGTATTCAGTCTGATATAGCTGCAGCAAAGTATGAATACTGGTCATCCTTTGCCCCTCTTCCACTTGAAATTGTGTTGGAAGCAGGACAGAATGCAAAAGATGAAAAATCATTAGGTAATAATGCTTGTTCCACCCCTTCGCTGCTGAACAGGGACTTGAGAAGTTGTTATGCTGGTCTTCATTTTCATTTGAAACTGTAGTTTATGATGATACGGAGGAAAGGGATAAACTCCGGCTGGATGTTGAACTTTCATCAGAAGGATGTGTTGAGAGCATGTTGTTAGTAGATAGAGGTCTTCGAGAATTGACATCCCTCAAGGTTTTCTCAAGTCTTTCTTTATACAGAATCTTTATTTTAAATTCATTTTCATAGTTTGCTTGCTGATTATCCTTTTCATATGGTGAGGACATTTCATAGTTATTAATCCTTCAATTCATGGCCAATATAGCAAGATGTTGAATAAACAAAGATGAATACAAAGTTATTCATGATAACCAATTGTAAAAGAATGATGTTTACAAATAAATATTTTCTGCCTCTGGTTCTTAATTGCATTTCACCTATCTTCAGTGTGGACCTGTGTTATGAAATGCCATATTGTTATTGCCATTTATTCCAAATAAATAAGAAAACTGAACTTCTAATGTAGTCTAATTTTTTCACTTCAAAAGGTTGAGGAAGCAATAACTCTTTCTATGGCCCAAAAACGAAGGCCAAGTGCCCTAAAATCTAGTGCAACAGGTAAGCTTTGATTCCTACTGTAAGAATCACCATTTCTTCTTATATGCATGTAATATACCTAAGAAAGTATTTTGCTCCAGTCCTTCCTTTTAAGAAAAAAAAAAAGGTTAGTTTTAAGCATTTCCTAAAATAAAGAAACACAAATCATTTTCTACTAGCTGAAAAATATTTCTTGAAGGAAGTACTTAATGGTCATGCTAGTCTCCCTGTGTGTCTCAAGGATTTAATTAAAAAGGACAGTTTTATTCTGACATTTTCTTTTTAGAGGAAATTGTCCAAATTTTAAAATCCAGAAGTTTTGTTTGGTGCTCGTATGACTTGTTCTTGCTGCAGATGACTTGAAGCTTCCAAATGAAGGTCAGGAATTTGCAGAGACATTTCGTAAGTCATCTTCTGTGTTATGAAGGCTATATAGATAAGTGTTTTGGACTCGCACTATCAACTTATGACCACAAGTGGCAGTGATTAAGCAGAAGCAATTTTGTAAGATTGATAGCTTACTTGCATGGCAACCCAATGGCAGTAAATATTGCCCAATAAGTTTATTAGAATATCAAGGATCATTCTCTGATGATCTGAATAGATATTTAATATATTCTCTTACCTTAAGGGGCTTTACTCCAAAAAAAATCATCTTGCATTTTCTTATGCACTTCCATAATAGACAGCCAACTTACACAGCAAAAATTCTCACCTTTAACCATTTGTTCAAAAACCAAATTGATTTGCACCCATCAGTGACCTCTTTTAATGTATACATTTAAGAGTGTTTTTATAATATTTTATATGATTTCTCATAGAACAAATTCATAAAATGCATAACTTTGCCAGGCTTCTTGATATGCATGTGATTCATGGAAAATTTATAGTCTAATGATGTTTACTTGTAATCTAAGAGCATTTGTTTACTACATACAGAGTTAAGCGAAGAGGAGTCGGAGGATGTACAGTTTAAACAGGTACAGTGACAATTCAGTCGTAGCATTTGCTCTCACCATCTAATTTCATTGTCTTTATGATATTTGGAATCATCACTTACCAGTCATACCTTTTCTGGGTGGTTTTAAATATATCCAATTAAGCATTAGATCCCTTCAAACTACATTACATTGCTTTGGATGACTCCACATATGTTACTTGGCCTACTATTGTAGGCTTGGCTGTTGTACTTTTGGAGAAGGGCAAAGAACCATGGATTGGAAGAAGATATTGCAGAAGAGCGATTGAACTTCTGGATCAACCAAGGTGATCAGCCACTCGACTCACAGGATTCAGTTAACGGTAAAACCCTGAACATATATGAACCAAGCATTCCATATGCAAATTGCATACAATCTGCAGTACAAACGCTTTACGTAAAATGGTTACCCTGAAATGCATTGCATCTTTGCACATTACTTTACAGCTGATCTTATTATGGGATATAGTGTGTGCATAGCTCGTAAATTCAATTCAGTATTCTCCTTTCTAGCTAGTTGGCATGAGTCAGTTGACAATGTAGGGAAATGTTTGTGTTGCTCTCATCTTGCAGTGGAGCGCGGTCTTTTGGAGCTCAAGAAACTGGGGATCGAAGTGCAGTTATGGCAAGCGTCTCGCAAAGTAATAGATCCTGAGACTACCAGCAAAATGTTGAAGGATAATGACTTTTGAGAGTAGGTTGAACTTCCCCTTTCCCCTTTCGTTTCTGCAACTTATGTGTAATCTTTAGCACATTCATTCATGTGCTGGGGTTTATTTATTAAGTCATAACAGTCCTTTCGTAGCTAGATACATACTACAACACTTCAGTTCTCCCTTTCTTTCAGAAATAAATATAATAGGGCAATTTTGTTTTTAAAATTTTTGTTTGAAAAAAGTGTTACACTATTTTTTTGCCCAACTTGAATAATTAGTTCAACTGTAGCCATTGTTTATATTTATTGTAAATTGATGACTGACTTAAATAAGTCACTTATATAGTTTAATACTACGTACACTATTTAATGCAAGTATCAGGCAATATCAATTGTTATACCATGAATCATGAAATATGTGTCTGTAGTTAACATATTATGTTTTAGTTAATAAATTATATGTTTGTTACAATTAATATATTATGTGTATTATGTCATTTTGAATCAAGGTCTACGATGCAAGGGTTCACCTTTTTTTTTTTTTTTTTTTTTTTTTTTGAATCAAAACCAAAGAACCATCTCATTCACTATCCATAAAACAAATAAGAACAAAGAAAAGGAGGAGGGAAAGATGTCCATTCCATACAACCAGAATCCAAAAAGGTATGCTTAACTAACGCATATGTAATCTGATTCACTGATCATTTAACAAAAGAGATAACAAGGCTAGAAAAATAACTTAACATATTTTTAATATCTTGTAAAATGAGATCAAAAGAAGGGCATGGAGGAACTGAATTGAGCCCTTGAATAACTAGAAGTTTGTCAGTCTCCACCAGAACTTTATCATAGCGATCCTTTGTCCTTCAACCAGCTGAGTGCTTCACGAAATGTCATTGTTTTTAATACACCATTTTTAGCTAAAATGAACTGTGCACTTTTCCTATGCCCTTTATTTGACCATACTTCTCATTGCCTCCAAAAACAATGTTTGGTTCATTGACTTCTTGTGTATTAACTAAATTTGACTTATCTCTGATCATGTGCCTTAAACACCCACTATTAATGTACAGGGCATTTGCACATGCCCCCAATTTTTGGAGGCCCCATACTTTAAAAAAAAAAAAAGATTACTATTATATATAGTATATTTAGACTTCAAAGTAGGCTAGAACTCTAGAATAGGTCTTTTTCCTTCTGCCTTTATAAGTGAAAGCATCCACATTAGTTGGGGAGATTTGGGAGATAATGTAAGAGTGATTAGGAAAGAGAATGTGGGAGGGGAGAGAAAAAAAAAATAACAAAACAAAATTTGAAAAAATAATAATAATAAAAATCTGTCGCGTCAGCAGCGCGCCAATGCACGCGCCCGTGTAGACAATGGCTGTGCGCAACCAGTGTTTTTTTTTTTTTTTTTTTTTTTTCCTGACATTAACCCTTAACTTGCAGGACAAATATCTCTCCAAATAACCCCACCCCACATTTGTTATTATCCCCACCCAAGATAGTTCATCTGACATTATCTCCCTAATATCCACTGACATTAGAAGATCATGTGGCTTGATTTGACCGTTGCCCAACACTACAGTTTCAAGGAATTCAAGATAACAAAATTATTCTGTAGTTTAGAAACATCAACACAGTACGCACATTCATTTAGAAACATGCAAATCAATTAAATGTTTGATCATTGATCAACAATTCAACATCAACCATATGAATTCGAAATAATTCCGTTGTTGAATAATTCGAGATTTTTCTTCAATTCTTTTTTATTTATTTACGTGACTTTATAATTCTGATTTCAAAATAATATATTCAAGAATTTGTTTCTTGATTAATTATTTATCATAGAGTTTCTAAATAAATTCTTTTTTTTTTAACTTATGATTTTATAATTACGTCTTCTAGAAAATATTCATCTGGATTTGTGAAGCGTAAAAAAAAAATAAAAAATTGATCAACTAACTCAATTTCAAAAGGGTGTTCTCGAAAAAGTCATCACAAAATAAATTCAAATAGATGAGCAAAAAGATGATGCCTATGAAAAATTGTTAGATGTTAATATTCATATAGAAGATCAAAATGATTGTGAGATTGGAACAAATTTAAATGATAGTGTGCACAACGATGATAAGTATCACTGTGACAATGAAAATAATAAGAATGTTGTTTGTTGTTTAGATAATGATGTTACTCACAATGATAAAGCAAATGATTCGCTTTTACTTGACATATACCGAACCAAGAAATTGTGATGCCATTGATTCAAAATTAATAGATATTCTTGTGAAAGATGGTCCTAAAAGAGATTTATTAATAAATAAAGGTCCTAAAGATAAATTTTTTAGAAGATTTTTGTCAGCATTTTACACAATATATTTTGCGAAATGGAGAGAAGTGTGGTTGAGTTTGGCTTGTATATTCAAAAGAACTTGACAAGGTATTTTGTTTTTGTTGCAAGATTTTTCAAAAAATGTATAGGAAAATGTATTTTGGTCAATGAAGGTTTTAGAGATCGGACACATCTGAGTGTTAGACTTAAAGAACATGAAACGAGTATAGATCATATGACGAGTTTTTTCCCAAAATGGTCCCTCGACTATTGCTCATTCTCAATTTTGCATTTCGACTTTTAATTGCACTCAATGTGGTCCCTTGACTTTTACAAACTCCCCCAAATTGGTCCTCCGTTAGAAATTCCGTATATTGAGTGTTAAAATGAAGGGCATTTTCGTCCATTTACCTATTATATGCCTAATATACTCTGAAAAATAGTCAAGGGACCATTTTGGGAATAGTCGAGGGATCATTTTGAGAAAAACTCATTTATTTATTTCATTTTTGTTTATTTCCATTTTTGTAAGACTATCAAATTAGAGTTTCTATACATTTTTTTTTACAAATATAAATAGTTAAAATCCACAATCAAACCTCAAAATTTTAAACTTTCTATACAAATTTGTTCCTTCTGTCTAAACATACAAACTTTTCCTCTAATCCTATCAAGTTTTACAATAAGTTCCGTAAATTTCAAAAATATAATACTCATATACTTTTTATGTTCACACACACACACACACACACACTAAAACTTCAATAGACAATCAATCACTATGTATCATATTAAATATTATTTTTACCATTGAAAATAACATTACTATTTTTATTAGTTTAGACACCCAAAATGTACTCTTCACTTCTCGGTCACTATGGCTATCAATTTTATGTCTTAAAGGACAAGTAAAATAAACCAAATGCAAAAATAATTAGCACAAAACAAACAATTCTAAACCTAAAGTCTCATCATTTACCAATATTACAAGTTTTTGTCATTTTGAAGTTTGTTTGTATTTTATATATGAATGTTAATAACTTAAATTTGAAATTTAAACTTGTTTACCAAAGTACGTAAAAAAATAATAATTTTATTTTAACTATAAAAATAATATTTAATGTAATACATAGTGATTGATTGTCTTTTGAAGTTTTAATATGATTATATGATTGTATATATATATATATATATATATATATATATATATATATATATATATATATATATATATATATATATATATATATATATGAACATAAAAAGATAAAAATAAAAAGTATATGAGTATTTATGAATGTTACGAAATTTATTGTAAAACTTGATAGGGATAGGGGAAAAATTTGTACGTTTAGACAAAAGGAAAAAAATTGTAGAGAACGTTTAAAATTTTAAGATTTGATTGTGGATTTTAACTATTTATATTTGTAAGAAAAAAAATGTATAGAAATTCTAATTTGATAGTGTTAAAAAATGGAAATAAATAAATGAGTTTTTCTCAAAATGATCCCTCGACTATTTTTCAGAGTACATTAGGCATATAATAGGTGAATGGACGAAAATGCCCTTCATTTTAACACTCAATAGATGGAATTTCTAACGCAGGATCAATTTGGGGGAATTTTTATAAGTCAAGGGGCCTCATTGGGTGCAATTAAAAGTCGAAATGCAAAATTGAGAATAAGTGATAGTCGAGGGACCATTTTGGGAAAAAACTCTCATATGACTAATATGACAACTTGGATGGAGTTGCGTCTTAGATTACAAAAAAGTGAGATAATTGATAAAGAGGCTCAAGAACAACTTTTGAAATAAAAAGAATATTGGAGGAAATTAAAGTACTATTTAAGATTATTGTAGCTGTGAAGTATATTTCAAAATATAACTTGGCATTTCGTGGAACATGTGAGAATTTATATTTTGACTTTTTAACACAACTTTTTAAATAACTATTATTTATATATAGAAATTACTTAAAAACAGATGCCCAAAATAAGATATTGCACAGGACCCCAATTTTTATTGGAACGGCCCTGTCAATGTACCATATCCCCCTAGAGTCCTGAAATAAAAAATTAATTTGATTAGCTATTCATGCCTTCTTGGGTCCTTCCAAGGTAGTTAATTTCGACATCCATCTCCACCTTTATCTCATTAACCCAAGACTATCTGAGATATAGACATTAAAAATATTATAATTGTAAGAGATATTTTGAAATTGCCTGGGCTTTTTAGGTGCATATATTTTTCTAAATTTGGGACGTTCTACTTTGTTACACACCCAAGAAATAGATTATTGCTTTAATCGATGAAATCTTTCAAACTTGAACTTCGTTCATGGTTCGCTTACGAGCAAGTGAGCAACCAATCTTCATATGAAAGATACAACCTTCCAGCCCTTGTCATTGACTTTTTTAAATATCTTTGGGGTTTAGCAATTGACCTTCCTAGTTTACCTTTCGGTGCATTACCCTTATAGCTACTGTTTGACTTTTGTCTCGAGAAGTTACCATTTGGCCTATAGTTCAGTTTTCGTCACACGGTGCCTTGAGGACCTTTAGAGTGAACATTTGGCTTAAGGTTACCTTTCGGTACGTTTTTTCACTCTTTAGACCTATTTACCTTTCAGTTTAGCATTTTGAGTGGAAGATTCACCCTTTTGGTTCACTATTAGTCTAGTGTTCTCTTCTTGACTTTAACAAAAAAATTCCTTTAAACCTCCATTGCTTGAAAGGCCAAACTATTTGGTCAAGTTAACATGTGAATGAGAGATGGAGTCAAAGCCAAGTCCTACTTTTATGTTTTTGCAAATTTATTATTTTCTCAATAGTCTTGGATGAATTGGTAAATGTGGCAATCACTGCAAGCAAGTTATGCTCTCTAACTTCTCT